GAGGCTATTAAAAAACAAAATGAAAATTGGAAACCTCACACTTTCCTTACTGATTGCGACGACGCACAGCAAAATGCCATTAATGTAGTATATCCTGATGCCATAATTCTGTTATGCCAATGGCATGTTAAAAATGCCTGGCAAAAAAATAAAAGTAAAATTAATGGAAATGATAAATATTTTAAGGCTCAAGATAAAAATGAAAAGAATGGTAATGTTTTTAAACGATCAGTTAAGCAGGTAGTGCAAAAGGCGGTGCTGGATAAGCTTAATACCATAATGTGAATTCGTAATATTCACCAAGTAAAAAATAAATTCGACAAATATTTAGTACAGTGGGAGGGATTAAATGAAATCAAATGGGTAGATTATATTCGAAAAGAATATCAAAATAATTGCGAAAGATGGATTGATGCATACCGCCTATATGAGCATCAAGAAATGAATACAACAAATTTTATCGAAGCTTGGCATAAAAAATTAAAATATACTTACTTTGGTGCCAAGCAAAATAACCGAATTGATACCTTAATATGGACTTTGCGAAATGCTCTGAAAGATGCAGAGTTCGAATGTGAAGCCATTCATTTGATGATTGGAAGGATGAAGCCTCGTCAAAGGGAACAGCGGCAACGTGAGCTTGCTGGTTTAGACCTAGAGGTTTTCAAATTTCCTGGTGAAAAATACTACCTAGTTAAATCATCAAAAGATAACCATTATGAGGTTAGTATCAAGGATTTAGTGCAACAAAATAATAATATAAAACTAGCACATTTTGAATGCACGTGTGTGGACTTCAAGTTTCGTGGAATGGCATGTAAACATATTTTTGCCATGTATCAAAGATATTATCTGAGGCAAATTACACATAGTGCATCCAATCAAGTAGAAAAAGAACCTGAGAAGGTTTGTGATGTAACTTTTGACAATTGGGTCGAGGCACTCAAAAAAGTTTGGGATCGGCATACTCAAGAAGACCGAAACCAAATAACTAAAACTGACATAGAGGCAATCGTAGAGGCGGGAATGAAGAGAAAAGCTAATATTTCTTTATATGACGATTTTCAACTTCCTAATCGTGATGTAAAAGGAACTAATTATAATGTAAAAAAGCAAATGCATTAAAATATGCATCTAGCCTTTCATTTTTCTTACTATAGAAATGATCCATAGCATTCATAACACAAAGAATTGTATACCATCAGCTTCACTATAAAAAAAAAATTGAATTAATTATATAAAGCTTAAAAACTACTATATAAATAAAAATTATACACAATTGCCTAGTGAAATTTTATAAATTAAATGTTCGCTTAGTAATTTGGAGAGTCCTAAATTAAAAATATCCTTACAATCATTAATATTTATATTTATTATAACAGTCAAAGTTCAAAAGCGAAAATGAAAACCAAATATGTCAATTTAAGGTAATTACCCAAATCCATAGTGAAAAAAAAAGGTTTATTAGTATTTTTAATTTTATTAAATTTTTGCATATTATACGTAAAGCATAAAATGAAACTACTTAACTTTAAATAAAGTAACGGAGACCAATACCTCAAAATGCAAAAAGATTTGTCATAAAGCATGAACTTCTTTC